ATCATAAGAATTGGTGAATTCTTGATAAGATAAAAAAAAGATGCAAGAAAGAACCTTGGTAGAGACATTTTCACTTTGACAAAAATCATTTGTTACTTCTTTCTCAATTCCACAATCTTAAAATACAAATTTTATTATTTGTAGGGTTTTGATTTGTTTGTAATTAAATAAAAGAAAAAGAAAACCAAAAATTAAAAGTAAAACTAATTTTTCCCAATGGTTTAAATAAGCACATCCTAAGTTTGTGGTTCTAGGTTGAAATCCCAAAAATATCAAGGAAAAGTTTCACTGAACACTAAGATGGAGGTGCATTTCTAAGGATTGGGGAAGGAGGAGGAGATGGAAATACATTAGAAAAGAATAAAGACAAATGGCTGGAAAAATGCACCAGCCCCTTGGATACATAAATGGTGTGAAGAAATAAAGAAGAAAAGATGAAGAGAAGAGAATAATGGTGGTGGTGGAGTGTTGGCATGCCACTAGGGGATGAGCCACTCTAGAAAGTGGTGGTTGTTGCTACTTGAACCAAGATTCAAGATAAGACACTCAAAGAGATGAGACACTCTAAGAAACCTCACACACTTGTCATAAATGTTTAACTTAATTACATGAGGAGAAACTTTCTATTTATAGGCTTTTAGGGAAGATACCTAGATGAAATTACAAAAGGAGACATAAATTTAACCTAAACCTAAAGTCTAAGAGTCCCCATGGCCCAAATATGTTAAATTCGTCCTAGCCCACCAAAAATGACTCTAAGGATGTGAAGAACATGAAAAAAAAGTGTGCTTCCTTTTGGGTTATCCTAAACTTACCAATCCCACATCCCAAACTTCTTCCTTTCCAAAAAAAGGGTGTAAGACATGAAAAAGGAGTGTCCTACACCTTTGGGCAACCCATGCAACCACCCTATATGTCCAAGCCTTCTTTTCCACCAAAAAGAGATGGTGGTGTTAAAAAAGGAGGTACATAAAGTGGTCCTACAAAAAAAGGTGCAAAAATGAGTCTCTCTAAAATTTTAGAAATAAAAAATGCTAAGAAAAATTAAGTGGAGGGTGAGGAGGAGGCTTCCCTTCTAGTCATACTCCTAGTGATCCTCCTAAGGATGACCTATCCCACCTCTGGAGCAACTAGGGACTCATCACCTTATGAGGATTTGTATGTAGATTTGTATGCTTGATTGCAAGGACTCATAATTTGAAAGTTCATTTTGAGGGTGGTATAATGATTCAGGTTGAGGGTGGTATGATTGTTTAGGTTTTGTTTGGCAGGATGATTCATGATGATTCAAGTTAGGGTGGTATGATGGTTGATGTTGGTAAGATGATGAGGATAAACATAGTGAGAGTTTTGTTTTAGACAATATAGATGAATGTGATTTAAGATAAAGTGAAGCTAAATACTCGATTGCATTACATTTGATTTATAAATGTCAAACATTGTATTAACATCTTCATTATCTATTAACTCAATAACAATGTAGTTGCATACCCCCTAACTAGATGAATGGTAACCACCCTTTCATGTGATCTTCTCTAAAACCATTTAATGATGCTTATTTTGAACCTTTGTATAAATATTCCTCTCTTAAAGGGAACAATCTTTGGTGATGGTGAATTGAATGTGACTCCTTCCATGTGTTGATTAATCCATCATAAGAGCATATCGAGAAACCATGATTGTAAGAAAGAAATTTATAGACTTGTAGGGTGGTGGAGAGTTTAACAAGGGAAGTTTATAGAGTGAGAAATGTTGGTGAAAAATGTTAATTCTCTACCTTTTGTATTTATAGAAGATTGAATTTGAATATATTAAAACCAAATTGAATGTAGTTAATTCACATAAACCAAGTGATGTTGACAAACTAAACATGCATACACTCTGAATGACACACGCAACAAGTCCAACATGCATGCACTTTAAATGGCACATTGACTGAGTGAGAGGGCAAATCAAATATGCTTGTTCGGGTAGATGCCTTTTGAGTGATATGTTGACCTAATTAGGGTGAAGTGACATTTATGTGTCGAAGCATGCATGCACTATGAATGACACGTGGCCCGAGTGAGTAAAAAAGTGAGACACTTATGACGGTATATGCCTTCTAAGTGGCACACTCACCTAGTTAGGGTGATGTGACATACACATGTTGACACATTCATCAACTCTGAATGACACTTGGTGATAATATTCCAAATAGAATTGACGCAAAAAATTTAGGGTTTGGAATCAATTAAGAATAGAAAAGTATGAATTGAGAATAAAATAGATAAAACCTAAATAAAGGGATGGTGCCACAAACAAAGTTTGATAAGCCTAAAGATGACCGCCACAAGAATTGGTGAATTCTTGATAAGATCGAAGATGCAAAGAAGAAACCTAGTAGATAAATATTCTCACTTTGACAAAATTCATCTGTTGCCTCTTTTCTCAATTCAACAATCATAAATATAAAAATTTAAGGTTTAGGTTTTCCTGGACTTGACTTTGTTTATAATAAAAAGAAACCCAAAAGAATTAAAACTAATCAAATATTAAGCTAATGGTCTTGGATTCAAATCTCATCTCCATAAAAAAAAATATTTTTATTTTAACTCTCCAAGCCATTACACATGTAACCAACTTAGCCTCCTCAATTACTTGGGTCTTTAACTGTTGGACCTCCCATAAAAGAGTCACCTTTTGTTGTAAAACCTCTTAAGTCTTTTTATTCCTTCCTCTAGTCATTGGTCCAATTAAATCTTCAATTAGATCTTTATCTTTCTTCTCTTGGCCTTGAGCTTTTATATCCACATCACTTGGATTGAGTGAGTGGACAAGTCAAACACACTTGTCATGATATATGCTTATTAAGTGATACGATGACCTAGTTAGGGTGTTGTGGCATGCACATGTTGAGGGATGCATACACTTTAAATAGGATGTGGACTGAATGAGTGGACAAATCAAATAAACTTATAGGATAAATGTCTTTTAAGTGTACACTAACCTAGTCAATGTGATGTGGCCTCCACCTCTCGAGTTATGCATGTACTTTGAATAACACATACTAAGTGAGTAAACAAGTCAAGAACATTTTTCAAGGTAAAAATACCTTATGAATGACAACACATTGAGTTAAGAGAAAAGTGAGGAACACATTTTAGGATAAATGACTTTTAAGTGACATATCAATTAAATGGATAAGTTAGGATGAACTTCCCAATAAAATTGAGTATCACGTAGGATCTCATTCAAAATTACTGTTAATCATATAAAGTATAAGGTAGGTAATGTGTTAAATTTTCATAAATTGAGGGTGATCACAAATATCTTTTATGTTAAACCCAAACTTCATAATTTTATTACTAATGTGAAAAGACAATGAATTTTATAAATAAAGTTTGAAATAAAGTTGAAGATAATAACAAATGTGATTTATAAGGAGGATTCTTAGAAATTTTTTTTTATAAAATACAAAGTTTAGGAAAATAGTAATTTAAAAAAATAAAATTAATATAAAAGTTTTCTTTTTAAACCATTTTTAATTACAAAGTAGAAATTTTAAATTTTACTATATTCAACCACTTATTTTTTTAAATTATTAAAATCATAATGCTTACACAGTTAATTATATTTAAAGAGTAGAACTATATTTCTAGAATTTTTATTTTATTTTTTATGCAAAATAAAAATTATATAAACTATATTAAAAGAATCATCTAGATAAAATATTTAATAAATCCTTTTATATATTAGAAAAAAATTGACAATTAATATCGATAATCTTAAAAAAAAATATACACATATTATCCTAAAAATCAATAAAAGGTTTTACTTTTAAGATATATTTAAATATTAAATTACATTTTTATATTAAAAAATTCGTACAGTTAATGAACTTTTTTTAATTAAAGCTTGTTTAACGATAAAGAGCATAGAATTTACAAATAAAAAATATTTTTAATTAGTTTTCTCTATCCATGTTAATATATATTTATTTTGTTCACATTGAGAAGTGAACACGCTTAATTTAAATATTCGAATTCAACCATATTGTTATATGACATTTAAGAAATTAATGTATTTAACATTTAAACTTTGATATAATATGAACATATGTAACACTTGAAATTAAGAATAAACTTTAAAATAATATTTTTTTGGTTTAGTTTTAAAAAGATAATGAAAAAGTTTCAAGATTTCCTTGAGAAATTAATAGAAACATTTCTATTAAACAAATCAATTTGAACACGTTAACTTAAATATGTGGAAAACAATTCAACGGTTACACGTGATAGAGTTTAGAAGATGACTGTTTTTTTAGGCTGTAATAGATATTTTAATGTTATAGAATTATTTAAAAAATTATGCCAGTGGTTAAAAATTTCGCATATATTAATTTTTAATATTAACAATTAATGCTGATAAAAATATATTAATAATAATAATTAATGCTGGTAAAAATATATTAATAATTTTCTTACAACTTAAATAAAAATAGATTATTTCAAACGACAAAGTTGTGTTTCAAAAAAACCAGCGAACATTTGGTTTTGGTATAAAGGATAAAAAACGACAGGGAAAATTGAGCATGCAATCGAACAGTGATTATTTCATTCAAATCCTGAGACTCCGAAACCCCACACCACCAGTAAGAATCTCGCTTCCTCTTCTCTGTTTTTTTTTTCCTTCTGCAGAAACTATAATCAATATACATTTCATAAGTTTGATGAACCCAAATGAAAATTTTGCCGGGTTCTGTTTCAATTGGTGCATCTTCCTTATACGCATTGTGTTTTCGAACTTAGGGTTTTCGTTTTTTTAAATTTTCTAAACGTTTTTTTTGACTTAAAAATGTTGTCTTTTCAGAATTCAGGATTCCCAGAGAGACTTTGTGTCTTGGAACAAATGCTGTTCGGATTGTTATATATTTTTTAAAATTTAAAATATTTAATTTCAGTTTCATGAATTTGCGTGTGGTGAAGATTCCGGTTTAGATCTTAGAAGCAACAGTAAGAATGAATAATCAAGCAAAGAATGTTGCTGCATCATCTTTGTTTGGTCATTCTGGAATGGCCACACAACCACACCACCCTAACCCCATTCAGCAATGGAACCATTCAATTTCAAACCCTTTAATCTCTCAATCACAGTCACAGTCACACCCTCAAACACAATTCCCTGGTCCCTTTCAGTTTTCAGAGTCCCAATCTCATGTGTTTGCACAAGCTCAGCATGCACAGGCACAATTGCAGTCTCATGCTTCACGTGCTCATCCACAACCTCAAACTCAGGCCTTCGCTCACTTGCATAGTGTAAATACTAACGCTGCTAATGGTACATCATCTCCGGCCACCGGAAGTGCTAAGCGAGCAACCCCAAAACCCCCGTTGAGGTCTCATAATTTGTCGAATATGAACCAATCCACGCCTTTTAAGTCCATGGAATCTCAGCGGCAAAAGAAGCAAACACCAGAAAAAGGGGCCATGTTTTTGCCTGAGTCTGCTCTTTATACTCAATTACTTGATTTTGAGACCCAGGTGGATACTGCTTTGGCCAGGAGAAAGTTTGATATACTGGAGGCTAGGCTCCCTCCCCATGTTCAGAAAACTCTTCGTGTTTATGTCTTCAATACCTTCTCAAATCATGCCAAAATGGATTCTGAGAATAGGAAGGCCGATGAATCTTCATGGTCTCTCAAGATAACTGGAAGGATATTGGAAGAAGGTACGGATTCCATGTCTGGAATTTTGCAGAGATCGAGTCCTTCCTACCCAAAGTTCTCTGCATTTTTCAAGAAAATTACCATACATTTGGATCAAAGCCTGTATCCTGATAATCATGTTATTGTCTGGGATAGTGCTCGTTCACCTACTCAACAGGATGGTTTTGAGGTGAAGAGGAAAGGAAATAAAGAATTTACTGCAATGATTGCAATAGAAATGAATTATACACCTGACAAGTTTATGGTTTCATCACAGCTGTCTAAACTTTTAGGGATTGAGGCTGAGACTCGTCCAAGAATAATAGCTTCTCTTTTTAACTATGTGAAGTCCAGGAAGCTACAGAGCCCAAATGACCCTTCGTTCTTCATTTGTGATCCTTCACTACAAAGGGTGTTTGGGGAAGAGAAGATGGGTTTCACCATGGTTTTTCAGAAGTTAGCACAGCATTTGTCACAACCACAGCCAATACGTATGGAGCACAAAATCAAGCTTTCTGGACATTCTCCAGTTGTATCTGCATGTTATGATATACAGGTTGATGTGCCTTTTCCACTGGAAAAGGACAAGTCTACATTCTTGGCAAGCCTTGAGAGCCAAAAGGAGATTGAAGCTTATGATGAGGCCATTTGCACTTCCTTAAAGAAGATCCAGGAGCATCGAAGAAGACGGGCTTTTTTTCTTAGCTTTAGTCAGTCTCCAGTAGAGTTTATTGATACTTTGATTACTTCTCAAAGCAAGGATTTGAAACTTGTGGCTGGAGATGCCAGCCGTAATGTTGAAAAGGAACTTCGTTCTGAGTTCTACAATCAACCATGGTAAGTACTATGATGATGCTTGACCTTTTATATTTTTGTTGTGAGAAAATTTTCTTTTTATAATACACTTGCTTAGTACGGTTGTCAATTGAATGTGACTATTCACTTGACAAACTTGGGAATTTAATATATTTAAACACAACATGATACTTCATAAAAGACCTAGACATTTCAGATTTTAATGTGTCGCACTTGTTGGTTCTTAAGTGGGAACTAATAGGAATTTATTATACAACACCATAGTTACTCTGAAAATGGTGCATGGATTAGTTATAGTACAGAGAAATAGAAGTTATGGCATGGATGAATGTTGGGTTGGGCCAACAATATTCTATAATACTCTTTGTCAAAATATTTTCTAATTTTTGTGTGTTCTTTTTTATAATTTATCCAGGGTCGAGGATGCAGCCATTCGTTACTTGAACCGCAAGTCTGCAGGAAGTGATGCTCCTGGACGCAACTAAGAAGCATTATAGTGGTTGGGTTTCTATTTTGTTTTTCCTAACAACTCGATCTACTTTCTTTTCAACCCTTGTTAGGGATGAGAGTTTGAGTACCCAATATAGGAGTAGAAGAAATGAAAGAATGTTGGAACAAAGAAAATGTCTTTTACGTAGTGAAAGTCAAGGTGAGTGGAATCAGAAATTCTGTACAGAATTTCAGAAAATATTTACAGATCCATGGATTTGGTTGCCCTTGCCCCGGGCTCATTTGGAGTCCTTCAACTCATGTACTAGCTTCTAAGACCAACCTATGTTTGAGAAGGTTGGATTAACATTTCAAAAAGTATAAAAAATTATAAGAAATGTTTATCTAATGAAGGATAGTTTAATCAAAATAATAGAGGAAGACTGAAGACAATATATAAATATCATCAAAATTAATTTATTTTACAGGATATATTATTATTATCTGTAAATTTTTTGATCAAGTTAATTAGTGCCATTTGATAAGTCAATATAATAAATCCCATTAGGCAATATAAAGATATTGCATAAGCCAAGATTTGAATTTATATTACAGTCAAACTCTTATGATGCAGTGGTACCCACTCTGCATAGTGGAGCTTGTGGCTAACATGTGAAGGAGTGAGTAGATGTAAAAAGTTAGTATTAATTTTGTGTAAGATATAGGTGGAGATGCATCACAATCATCATGTGACACAAGTTTACCTATGAGGCTTGGATCTAACAGCCCGAGAATTAAGTGAGAACCATTGGTGGGTTTGTTGGTTATGCTCCACTATTGAAGTTTGTTATATGTTGTCCTCTCTTTTTGTTTACTTTTTACTATATAAAATGTAATGCAGTAACAAAGATATGAAAAAGAAGCATTATTCAAAGATGTCCCTTCATATCTCACTCTTAGCAGGTAACCCTTCCTGGTCTCAAACACAGGACTAGCTGTGTTTATAATAAACCCTTTATCTTCACATATATCATCAAGGTTCACCCATTTGTTTTGTGTTGGGATTTGTCAAGGTTTTTAACTCTTAATTTGCCTTTTCCTTCCTATTACTTCCTTTGTAGTGTTTCTTAATTCATCTGTTGCTCCTTTCTTAAGTTGAGAAAAAAAAAAAACTATAAATCCCTCCTACCTTTTTAAACCTTTATAATTATGAACTTGAAGATAGGATAAGGGTCCTTTGTGTCTGTTTCTCTTACATTCATTGAAGTTTTTATTTATTTTTATTTATTTTTTTATTTGATTAGCATTAACTTTTTGGACCAAAGTATGGATAAGTACAACACTTTTCATAATGGAAATATCTAACTGTTATGTGCTAATTCGATGAAGGAATTTAACTAGTAAAGCAGTGACTTATGTTAGCACTACAATAAAATAGTTTGTAAATGTATAGAGGAATTCCGTTAATTAGTGATAATTTAATGAGAACTATTATTTTTAATCATGTTATTAATAGTAATATTCATGAGCTTTATTTTTATTAATGAGTAATTTCTGTTGAAAAACTTGATTTTATTTATTTATTTACAAGATATAAACTTTAAAAATTATTTAAAGGAATTAAAGTACATATTTAAACAAACTTTTTATAGATAAAATGTAAATCAAAGAGAATTGAGCGTATATATATATATATATATATAAAATATAATATAATTAAATCATATAAATATTAGGTATTATATTAGTACGGAGATAATGAGATTTTAATTGAAAATGAAATAAATATAAATAAAGATTCACTTATTAAAATAAAATTAAATTATAATAAAACGATTATACATTTTTTTTGTTATATTATTAAAAATATATAAATATACAATAATATAAATTATAAAAATTTACAAAATTAAATTTAAATTATAATGTATAATTGAATAATTTAAAATATAAATATAATAATTACCTCAATTTATCTTATAAAAAATATTAATTAATAAATAAATATTTAGAAAATATTCATAATATCAAGTATATTTTTTTTAAATATATAATTTTTTTATAAAAATTTAAAAATTAAAATTAAAAGATAAAAGATTGGTAGGCACATTCTAGTTAAAAATTTATAATAAGAAAACTTTTCTTTTGGATTTAGATCTACAACTATAATATTAAATAATCATTAATTTTAACTGATCATAAAACAATTTAGATAAAAAGAAGGGACAGAAGTAAAGGTTTTACAAGAAAACCAGACAATCTTTTGTTTCTTTTCCATATATTTTATCCTTCTCTTTTGCTCTGAAACAAGGCATTTTAGGTTTTGTATAACAATGATAATGATAAATAATGACAATTATAATTTATAATATTGTATCCAATAGGCTTAAATAGTGCAAGAATCAATCATGTTTTTTATTGATATAATAATCAATCATTACTTAACAGAACAAGAAAGAGAAATTATATGTGTAGGTTTAGGATTTAGCCTTTGAAAGATATAAATAAATAGCATTTAATTGCTCTTGGTTTTTATATTTAGTAATTAGTCAATTTATTTGCATTACTTTTTTAATAGAGTTTTTGACTTTTTAGTTCTCATTCCTATTAAAAGTAATTTATGTACAATTAAACTTATAAAAGGTTTTTATATAATGTTTTTAAACTGGGCATAAATTAATTTATGTATAATTAACTTATAAAATTATGATTTAAAAAAAAATATGTATAACGTTAATTTTAATTTATGAAGATTGTTTATTTATTTCTTTATATTATTTTCGTTAAAGTAATTATCCAAACAAATCCTAAAACAAGAATAAAATATTATAAACTATGTTGACAACTAGGTCATTAAACTAATAAATAACATAATAAAAAAATATGCTATATTAATAATAGTTTTTTGTTTTTGTTTTTCTCTTTTAAGGAAAAACAAAACTCTAGCTATAAGAATGAAGAAATGTGCCAAATCTCCTACGGCACATGTTAGCCCCGCACACCATTATTAGCCATAAAAATGTGTGCTATGTTGGATGAGGACGTGTGATGCAGGCGCAGAGTTTGGATAAGCACGGTGACTAGACGCTATACAACATAGGACAAGACAATGAGACATTACGTGTACAACAAACACTTCATCACACAATATCATCAACTCTCGTATATTCCTCCACGTTTTCCCATGTTCCCAAGTCAACTAATTATGTTCCAAGTTTTCTAATCATGCGGTGATGATTTTGGTGTATAGGAAGTACCTTGTAAAGTATTGGTAGATTATGTGTTCTTCTTTCTGTTCAGTTTATGGAGATGTTTAAAGACTAAAACTTTTGGGGTTTTGAGAGATTGAGAGAGAAAGAAAGATTATGGTGACAATGGAAGAGAGTCCACGCAGTCCAGAGGCGAAGGTGGGGTTGCGAGTGGAGGATCTATGGGACGTTCAGGAGCCACAGCTGAGTCCTGATGAGAAGCTCAATGCTTGCTTTGAAAGCATCCCTGTCTCTGCCTTTCCTCTACCTCCTTCAAATCAAGGTACTCATTCCACTGTTTATTATCACACTCCACTCACATATCAATTTTCACCAACCTTTTGAATGTGATTTTTGCCTGATAAGATTTTTTGGAGTTTTGACCACATCAATCGTAACTGTCTGTTATTTTTTTAATGGCGAAGTTTACGACAATTATGTACTCGCAATTATAATTTAAAACCTTGATTCTTACGGATGAGAAAAAAGAAAACTTCGATTATACCCACACGAAAATTAATCTCTTGGATTTGATGACAAACTACACTAATGTTTTGGACTGCTGAACACTGTTTGGATCAACTGGCTCGAAGTTGTTCCAGCAGCTTAATCAGGGGTTATGGATTCGATTCTTACATGGAAATAGTGAAGGAGAAAGTTTGTAATTCTACACGGTCCGAGCAGGAATGCCTTCGGTAGTGATATGATTTTGGGCTGCTGATGTGATGTTGATGCCTATTTCATCTCGTAATATGTCTGGGTGTCTGATATGATATGCCTCTTTTATATCTCTCTTTCAGTTCAGCCTCAACACGTAACTATTTTTGGTTCTTATTTTCGAGTCTTCAGATATTGAGATAAAATCCGATACCACCCTAGCAGAAGCAGTGAAAATGCTTGCACAGCAGAACATTCTCAGTGCACCTGTGGTGGATGTAGATGCACCTGAAGATGCTAGTTGGATTGACAGATATATAGGAATAGTTGAGTTTGCAGGAATTGTTGTATGGATTCTGCATCAGGTTGGTTATGTCAATATGATTAATTAATTGTCTACTTAGATATCGACCTTCCTGGTTGATATTGAAGTGATTTTTGTGGGTGCCTTTTTCACACTTTCATTGTGACAATCAATGCTGTTGACAGTCTGAACCCACATCTCCTAGGAGTCCATCCAGTGGAACCACTATCGTGGCTGCAGTTAATGGAACTTCTGCTTTCGAACATGAAGCCTCAGGCCTTGAATCTGCCATGACGACTTCAGGCAATTTTTTTGAGGATCTGACTTCATCTCAACTTTATAAGAATACCAAGGTTGGATGTTGGCCTAATCAATGTAAACTAGGAAGTGATTTTGTTTTAATTGGTTATAGTTTATTTATGTCAGTAGCTAATTGTTTAGCAAACAGGTTCGTGACATTTCAGGGTCATTCCGCTGGGCCCCCTTTCTCGCTTTGGAGAGATCAAACTCATTTTTGACCATGCTTTTGCTTCTTTCCAAGTACAAGATGAAGAGTGTTCCTGTGGTGGACTTAGGTGCAGGTCGAATTCACAACATTATTACACAGTCTTCTGTAATTCACATGTTGGCAGAATGCGCTGGTCTTCAGTGGTTTGAGAATTGGGGAACCAAGAAACTGTCTCAAGTTGGACTTCCCATGGTGACACCAAATCATATTATCAAGGTGGGTAACTGTCTTATGTTGAATTTCTGCATCATGGTGGAAGATTATTAATGTCAGCTTATACCGCTCCTTAACCAACAAACAAGATCTCCAAATTGTATACATCTGCTTCAACATTATTCTGATATACAAACACTAAGCCTTCTAAGATATGCCACAGCATACCAACTACAATACATTATGCCTTCCACCCTCACAAGACACCTCCCCTGCATGTGTTTCATAGGCACAACTGCACCATTAATCTACTTCGTTATAATATATGGTATACATCAAGCTTCTTAATGCATTGAAATGTGTCAAGGTTGACTATAATTCTAAAGCAAAAGCTTCCCTAGATGTTTTATTAAGCTTATAATTAATGTAACTAGGCTTGTTTGGATAACTCTTCAAAACATTTTTTACAAGAGGTGAAAATAATAAGGTAAAATAAATTGAGCATTTAATGGATGTTAAAATCTACACGTGCATTTAAATTTTATGGAAGTTCTTCTCATTTAAGTTCAACAAAAGCTAAAGTGGACAAGTTGATTTTATCTTTATCAACTTTGTAATAGACAGGTTTCATTGTTTTCAGGTTTATGAAGATGAACCAGTGCTTCAAGCATTTAAACTGATGAGGAAAAAAAGAATTGGGGGGTTGCCAGTGATGGAAAGGGGTGGCAGCAGGGCAATTGGTAACATAAGCCTGCAAGATGTTCAATTTCTCCTAACTGCTCCTGAAATCTACCATGATTATAGGTTTGTCCTCACGTTTGATCTGATAGACAGGAACTTCCTTATTCCACATCTTTCTTTCGCTGTTCTATCCGATATACATGCTAATTTATAAATTCTCACTATGACAGATCTATTACAGCAAAAGACTTCCTGACAGCCGTTAAATGCTTCTTAGAGAAGCGTGAAGGGACCTTTCAAGTGTCAGGTGAACTGATTACATGCAGTAAAGATTTCACAATCAAAGAACTGATTCAACTGCTTGACCATGAGAAGATTCATAGGGTCTACGTTGCTGACAATGATGGGAATCTTGAAGGACTGATCACTCTGAGAGATATCATCTCAAGGTTAGTACATGAGCCCCGTGGCTATTTTGGTGATTTCTTTGATGGGGTTCTTCCGATGCCTCCAAACAGCCGGGTTTGACATACATCCAGGAAAAGTGACTAATAATGTATCAGTAGTAAATTGATGAGTGTTTCCCATCAAAGCTGAGGACAAGATCTTAGGGCAGGGCCTTTGTAATATAAGCAATTTGCACTTTGCAAGTTACTAGCTCTCATTTTGAGTTAAGGGAAACTGTGAAATGTGAAATTCCTGTAAATTTTGACGTAATAATAGGCAGCTTTGGTTACATTTTTTTTCTTTTGAACAAGTTGATCCTTCAAAGCACTATGTTTTGAAAAGTTGATCCTATTGTTTCTCGAAATAGCAATTACTGGTGCCCAAGAAAACCAACAATTGGTAGCCAATCACAACTCTTCTAGAGTGTTTGTTTGGAACAGCCTTAATTGAAAGTAAAAATTATACCGACCAACGAGTTACAAAGTGGGGATTTCATACTAGACAGTTTGTTTTGACCATTTGTAACTTACGTTCGAAGTCTCAAACCAGAAATCCAGCCGATTTGGACATCCTGTTCTCGCACCTGCAAAGTAATCCATAAAGGATGTGCAAAGATCTTGGTTTATGTTTGCAGTTCTCTTGAGAATGCAAAGGGAAAACGAGAAAAAAACTGACTTGCAAGAAGTTATGTACGAGGTTGTCACTTCCACATCCAAAGGAGTTTCTTACTTGGAAAGGGGAACCGCTCAATCCATTAAACTAGAAATTTAACAAATTGCATTGGAATTTTCTGATAAAAAAAGCGTGACTATTAACGGTTTTTTCTTTTTTAAATAAGGAATACTAAACAATGTAAATGATCTCGCCAGTTGAGGCTTTAACCCAAATTTTGATTTCCCTGCTGGATATGTCATCTATGTTCCCCTGCTACACCAGAAAAAAAAAATCCAAAATCAAATCAAACTGATACCATCATTTTTATAGTTCACTATTTCAGACATGATATAAGCTTGAACCACAATATTTGACTGGCATTACATTGCGCTAATATCTATCAAATATACACGAGAGACAAATCAGAAAATTGTGAACCCAAAATGGTAAAATGGGTGGCGCAGAGGCATCCATATGGTACAGAGGGTGGTAGCAGTCTTATCACCAAAAGGAGAGAGGCTGTTTCCAGTATCTAAGCACAGCTCACGTCACAAGGCAGCAAACCTTACCATTGTGCCAAGGGTCAGCCTCTTAGAATTGAGAACCTAAATTACATAAAAATTATGTATTCAGAATCTTACGTATGTTTTAAGTTGAGCTCCACCATGGAGCCAATTTAGCCTCAGAAAAAAGGAGACGAATTTCAGCCTAACTCAAATTATGCAAATACATGGATACTCCTAATAACATGCCATATCTCTACCCGGTACTTGCGGCACATATGTACATGTTATTGATGATAAGGACCATTCTGCTTTGGGATAAAAATTATTTTATGAAAGGTTTTTTTTATCTATGTTTAGCAATAAAATATTTTTCAATTTATGATATTAGGAAAACAAACCAGAATTACATAACAATTTAATAAAAAATATACATTTATGGGTTTAAACAAATTATCTTTATAGAAACATTGATTATCATTACCACATTTTTACAGTTTACACATTCAAATGCAAACGTAAATGAACACACTGTTTCTTAAACAATTGATGAACATTTAGATCCTTAATACATTCAATTCACAGGAATATTTTAAAAATCATATCAAAACAAAAAATTATATTGTTTTAGGACAAGAATTGTAAATTAAGTACAGTAAACAAGTAAAGATGCAAGAAATTTAGAAAGAAGTAATGAACCTAAGAAACAAAATATGAAAAAGAAAGAACTAACGAGGATATACATGAAATACTTGAATTCATTAATTGCCATGCCCCTGAGCGTCTATAGAATTTTGAGTAATTTTCAATATTGTCACACTAAAATAATACATTTTTCCTACTATATATAGATCTAAAATCAGTGTGAGGAATATAAAATTTCTCCTACCACTTGCAACACGTATTATTTCTCGTCTTTGACTTCACACTTTTATCTTTTTTTTGAGATCCCTATTGTCATGTATTATTTGAAATTAGATAACTTGTTTGTCAATTTTTTTTCTTACCATCTTCTGCTCTTACTATCCCGAGCATTTGACTATTCGACTTTCCACACAATCAGAAGTTCTTTGAACATTTATGATTGAGAGATCACCTCATAAAATGCCTCTCTTGATTTCTAAACCATTTGACTATCGAGAATCCTACTTCTCAATCTTATTTTTCTTGAGTCCATATCCTCCCTACAGTCCAGTATCTCCAACCTTAATGGACGTGACCTCTATCACAAGACTGAAACCTTTAGTTGACAAATACATGTTATGCTCTTTCAAGACCAACATGCAGTGGCAGAGTTTCTTAGGAGGTGAGGGGGCTATGACCCCTTCAAATTTTTATAACCCTCTTTTTTTTTCATATTCATTTATTATTTATTAATAATAGGATATTTGACCCCCTAAAATGATTAATTAAGATCCATCACTGCCAATATGGATCTCTATGATGATTTTGACCGGAGTCAAAAAGCCTATAGTCATTTTATTACCAATAACAACTCTAAAGACTGAACATCAGTTATTATGAGAGGGAAGCGTTGTATTCGTATGTAGTTATACTCTGTTTATGAAATAGCAATTTTGTCGGATGTAAGAGGGGAGGGGAGAAGTACTCTCTGTAGGAGACTTGGCTTTGGAATTGTATCTAAAACAGTGCATTGTTGAATTCAATAAATCTTCCCCTTTTAAATTCAGAATCATTGTTCTATTATTAACTTCATGGCTTTTCCATCTAGTAAGATAAGACTTTGATTGATACTAGACCAATTAACTGAACCATTAGCTCAACAGTCCGATTATAATCAACAAGCAAAATCAATATCCTCTCATTTTCTTACACTTGCAGGAAGAACATTTTATCCGCATGAAGAAAATGCAATTTGTTTAATGTATACTGATGATGACCATGCTCAAGTAAAATTCTCAAACACAGGTACTTCAGCATGTTAATTATGGTCAACTTTTTACTCTAAGAAAAAGAACATACTGGGTAAATCTAAAAGCAAAAAGCAACAATTTAGTCAAATATACCATTAGTTGTAAAAAACTCGTAAGAAACGCCTTTGGTCTAATGGTACTAATGCCCATTCAGTGTCTCATCCTGACAATATAAGGAAACATCAGAGACAATATAAGTATAAAATTCAATCTGGATATAAGAACTAACTTCAGTATAATGTTTACCATGGTAGAAAACTGGTCTCTAATACAGTGCATGGCTTTCAGCATCATGTCCATAGAATCTGTAGCCAACTGAAACTTTACATTTTGCTCTCCTGAGTGAAATGGAGCATCATTTTGAAGCTGAAAAGAAATCAGTTAAATTTAAACAATAGAATCACATAAAACAAAGTTTGATTATTTTTCATACAATACATATATCTACATCATAATAAAGCCAGAACACTTGAGTGATACGCGCATCTGTTACCTCTCATTCTCTTTAAAGTCAAGTGCAACATAAATGAGCATTGAAGGAAGGAAAGTCCGTCCAATACTAAAGTTAAAGAGGTGGTATTTTACCTTCAAAGCAATAACAGCTGCAGGGTCTGCTGATTCTTTCTCCAGATTTGCCATATTCCATGTCATCGCCTTTAATCTAGGCACAATATTCTGAAAATAATACAGCTTAAGCATTTTGTCTCAGATTAGTATCCAATTGAGCTCACATTCACAAATTATACAGTATAATAGCTTACCTGATCTTTCATAACCTCTTCTTGCCACTCTCGCTGAAACTTCTGCAACAAAACTGTCAACAAATTTTGCAATTCAGGCAGAACTTCACTGGGAAACAGCTTTGGAATATCCTCCTTGGAAGTATTTTCATAAACAGACCTCCTGATTAACATTCGGAGACAAACCAGAAGCTGCAGATAGTGTCAAAATTATATTCTGTACCATAGAATTTGTTTGGAAGAGACTTTTCATAAGCATTTCTAAAGGAAATAAAAATATGAACCGACTTTCTCCTAAGATAAAATTTCATCATGCCCAAGTAGAAAACAAAAAATTTATAGAAACTCTACTATATAGTTTCAACAAATTAGCTTATAATGGAAAAACTAATTTCAAATTTTCTTCTTGTTTTTTTTTTTTTCCTCTTCTATAACTGTTTATGGAGAAGTACAAACATACCGTAAATCATCTAACGATAACTCTACTACTGCTATGCATCCATAGACTATTCCCTATAGAAGAGAGAGAGAGAGTACTGGGTCGAGATCAGATTCATTCTGTATTTGAAGTATGTCTTGGATAATGCATCGATCAGTAGTGCCAAGACCACTCTTTCGAGTTCTCCAAAGGGCTTGAAGAATGTATTCTACAGATTCTTTCGAATTTGCCCTCATCAGCACTGGCAAATGACCCCATATCGTTTGCTCCATTAACCACCACCACCACCACCGTATCAGAACATATGATGCAGAGAGCGAAATTTTTTTAACTGTTGTTTGTTTAGCATCTATTCGAGTTATTAATATATTTTTATTTTATATTGTTTTCAAGTTATGTTTTTTTTAATATAATTTCGACATGTGTATATTCTGAAAAACATTTTTAAGAAGGGTTAAAAAAATATAGTATTTCAGAGGGACGTTAACAAAAAAATATTTTAATTTTCAAGAGCGTTAAATTTTTTTATTACTTTAAATATACTTTTCAGAATATTACTATTTTTACTAAAAAAAAATATTTTTTGAAAATCAATTTTTCATATAAAAAATAAAATCAGACACAAGTTATTTTCCATATTAATAATATTCTTGAACACTTTTGAAAAGTATTTCCTAGAAAAAGTATTTTAAAATAATAAAATTAAGACATATCAGAAAATGTGAAAGGTGTAAAAAGAATTGTATTTATCTGGATAAGACCTTTAGGCCCAATCAGGGACCCAGCCCATTATTGAGTCCCTCAATCCATTCAAAATTTCCCAAACAATACCAATACATTCAAAACAAACGATTCGTGCGCGCTGAACTGAACTGAACTGTTTCCTCGATTCCAAATCCCTCAGACTGAAACAGTGACTGACCCATGGCACCGAACGATCTCCGCCGTCCGTTCAAGCGACCGCCAATTTCCGATCAAGAGAGGCGCAGGGTACAGACTCTGCTCCGCCAGGCACAGAATCGCCAAGACGCCCAGCGCCACGCGCGTTTCTTAGTCAACACCGTCCTCACTCTCCCCTCTCAATCCTACGCACCAGAATCCGAACCCGAACCCGAACCCGAACCCGAACCCGAAATTGAACTCACCGAAGCTGGTTCCGCTCCCGACTTGAAATCGCTCGAGAACCTCGACGTCCTCGGAGCGTCGAAGCTGAAGGCCGCGGAAGCTCGCAAGTGGTTCGCGAAGCAGCTCATGCTCCCCGAGTGGATGATCGACATCCCCAACAACCTCGCCCAAGATTGGTTCTTCTCCTAACCTCAATTTCTTCCAACCTCTCTTCTTCTCAACTTCTTCCACGTTAACCGAAACTCCGTTTTCAGGTTCGTCTTCGCTCGCCCTTCCGGAAAACGATGTTTCGTCGTTTCGTGTAACGGAACGACGATTAGCCGTCTGCGTAACGGTTCCATTCTGAATCGGTTTCCCTCCGCGTTACCGAGCGGCGCCAGGAAAAAGGATTCCGGTTCTTCTCAGTCCTACTCTATACTGGATTGCATCTTTCACGAGGTTACCACTTGCCTAAATATATGAATATATATGGTTTTTTTTTTTTGTTGTTGGTAATGTTAGTGTTGAGTTCTGTTGTGTGTGGTTTTTGAGGTGGCAGGTGGATCAGACCTATTACGTTATTGACATGGTTTGTTGGAGGGGTTACTCGCTGTCCGATTGCACTGCGGAGTTTAGGTTCTTCTGGTTGAATTCCAAGCTAGCAGAGACTGGTGCTTGTGAACCTCCTTCTTATTATCACAAGTATAGGTTCAGTTTGGTTCCGGTTTATGGTTGTGACTCGAATGGTCTTCAAGCTGCTTATTCGGCACCGGTGCCTTATGTCAAAGATGGTCTTCTCTTTTATAACAAGTAATTTTATAACCCTTTCGTTTCATTCTGTCATTTGTCTTGAAGTAAACCTTTCTGTTGGTGCCAAGTGCCAACGTAATAGATTGTTTCTGCAAGATTTAATTATACTTAGACTAATTTTAACTTATGGAAGAAGTTATTTTATTTTTTCATCTTATAAAGAAGTTTTTCCTACCAGATTTTGTTTCAACTTAAGTAGTATAACTTGTTGTAATGGGATTTGTATTATTAAATGTTCGTGCTATTCTCTCTTGTTAGGCTAGTATTTTGGTTTACCTTTTTGCTTTGATGTTTTTTAGGCATGCCCACTATCAGGCAGGAGTTACGCCACTAGCGTTAGTATGGAAGGATGAGAACTGTAGTCAATATGTTATGGACACAGACAGTAAAGGACAAGTTCCGAGCCAGCAGCAGGTTTTTCTCGTGCTTCCTTTTCATCTTATCATTGCTTTGTTTTCCATGCCTTTTCTTTGCTGCTTACATTATATTGTTTGCTTTTGTGGATTTCCAGACCTTTTGATTGAAAATTGTATATATGGATCACTGGCTTCCCTTGTTTGGTACTTCATGGACTTTATTTTTTTGTTTCATGTTCATTGCAGCTATCTATCATCTAAGAAAATTGTTCCATTATTGTTTTGAAGCGAAACTGCATACATAAGGCAATAGAAATGCAGACATATGGTTGCTTTGATACAGTTTTAGGTTATATAGAGATGTAGAGAAGATACTATGTGTGAACATGTGCATTTCTATAAACTTTTTTTTTTTTTTGTACGGCATCTAGTTTGTTGAGTTATATCCTGTTACTACAGAAATAGGAGAAACTCACCCAGACATGTCATAAGGGTCTCTAGCCATCTTCTAAGTTTAAGTTTGAAGCTGACATCGTTTCCCTCTTTCCTTCTTTTTAGAATGGAAATTATCATTGTTATGAACATATGCTGGCTAAACATTGGCTATTATACTTTTTATTTTTAAACTAAGTTGCATTGGTTCTCCATAATAAATTTATAAGAATGTACCAGCAAATGGCTTGAATCTCAACAAAACTTTTTTTAAAGACTTTTAAACTAGTAAAAACATAATAACATTCAGTGTTCTAATTATATTTAACATCGGATACTTAATTTGCAAAGGTATATATTGAGAAGTGTTTTTGTTGTGCACATTGATGTTGCATCTTGCATGGTTAAGTGTTGGATGAAAACCAAGATTATATGAATTCTTGGCTTCAAAAAATTTGGATTTGATTTGTTTAGCCTTGACCCAGCAGTAAAGTTACTGCCTTATGCACTTGGATGTCATGGGTTCAAATCCTGGAGACAACCCCTCTCTGTTTGTGGTTTGGTACATCTATCCTCAGACTCCATTAGGGGGAGTACTGTGCATTAGGTTGCCCTTTTTGTTAATGAAATATGTATTTTCTTCACCTGCATCTCTAGAGGTTTTGGCAAGCATAGTTTTGGAGATTATAAGTGTTAGATATGATTAGATATTAGTTGATATTGTTTGATATTGTTGAGATATTGTTAGATATTGTTAATCACAATATCAAATAATATCTTTTTTATTTACCCTATTTGTATTCTGTTACTCTTTTGAGGAGTACCTTTCTTTATTATAAATACACTGCCCTGTGGTAAACACATAAGGGAAATTAACCCAATACAGTTTTTCCCTATATTCAACATGGTATCAAGAGCTTAAGGTCTCTTGGGATTTTTTCGGCTCTGCCACTGAACCTGCAGCTGTCGCCGCCTCCATCGCCGCCGCCGTCGCCACCGCCGTCCGCCGCCGCCGTCGCCAGAGTAGCAGCTCGGACCGCCGAGCACAGGGTTTTGCTCGCCTCCTCCGTGCGACCTCCACCGTGGAAGTTTCGCGGTCATCGGAGCAGCCACGCTCCCTCACGCGCCTCCCGAAGCCGCGCCACCTTCTCCCGTTCCGCCGCGCGTGGCGGCGCGTCTCGCCGCCGTTCAGGCCTTCGATCTTTGCGTCGGCGTCGCCTCCTTCTCCTCTCTCTGGATCTGTCCTCGCTGCTCCAATCGGACCTCTTTGGTGTTTTAGGGTTTTTCTCTCTCTTCCTCCATGGCATCTTCCGCTGCCACTTCCAATTCTGAAGTTACCTCCGTCGACTCCGGTGGGTCTGAGCAACTCGTTTTTACTAATTATGTCAATGTGAATTTACCCATTGATAAATTAGATGGTACGAATTATGCAACTTGGGCATCTGATATTAGACTTTGACTTGAGAGTCAGGGGTATGTTGATCATCTTACTACCAAGGTAGATGATGTTCCTTCCAATGATCGTGTCCGTTGGAAGAAAGTTGATGCTCATATATGTATGGTTCTCAAGAATACCATCCAATCTTCTTTAAAACAAATTTTTCGATCGTATGGCACATGTTATGACGTTTGGGAACAAGCCAAATTATTATACACCAATGACACTCAATGTCTTTATGGTGTTTGTTACAATCTTCTTGATGTTATTGCTCCTCGAGATAAGGATCCTGTGGCGGATTATGTGGGTAAGATCCATGCTCTTCTCCATGAATTTAATGAGTTATTACCCCCTGCCTCGACTCCTGCCCAAGAATTAGAGCAACGATCAAAGTTTTTCATGGTTTTGATGTTACACGGACTTGCTGATAAATATGCCCCTGTTCGTGACCAGATTTTGGGTTCCCCTGTTACACCCAGTTTTACCGCTACCAGTTCCTCCCTTTTGCGGGTGCCATGTAAACCTCTCAATATTCCCCCTGTAGTTTCTAATGATTCATCTGCCTTGGCCTCTCACCGTGATGATCGTAATCGCTCTCACAAGCCAGGCAAAGGGCGTGTCAAGTGTGACCATTGTGGCAAACTAGGCCACAAAATTGACAAATGTTATGCTTTACATGGTTATCCTCGCCGATCTGCTGCAGTTGCTCGAGCTCGATTCTTCCGCACAATCCTCTCCTGTGGATCCTCCTTCGTCTGTACCTTCAGACAAATCTGCTATCTTCAATGATTTTCTTCAATGGTATGAGGATCGAAAGCCCTCCAGTTCCACTACTTCTGTTGCCCACACAGGTACATCTTTTGCTGGTCTGACTCACTCTTCTTCTATTGGCCCTTGGGTTCTTGACTCAGGCGCCACCGATCACATCACTGGTAACAAATCCTTATTTTCCTCTTTCACTTCTTCTCATAATTTACCCTCTGTTACAATGGCTAATGGGTCTACAACTTTAGCTCATGGTGTTGGAACGGTTACTCTTTTTCCCTCGTTGTCCATTGATAATGTTTTGTATGTACCCGGGTCCCCCTTTAACTTATTATCCATTAGCCGTCTAACTCGATCTCTTGATTGTGTTATCTCTTTTACCAAAACTTCTGTTTCCCTACAGGACCGGAGCTCGCAAAGAGTGATTGGCACCGGATGTGAGTCACATGGACTTTATTATCTTCAACCTTCTCCACATGTTGGCACAGTTATGGAGTCTCCTTCTCTCCTTCATGCTCAGCTTGGTCACCCCAGTCTGCGCAAATTACAGCAACTTGTTCCCAGCTTATCCCAGTTGTCCAATTTGGTGTGTGAGTCCTGTCAGTTAGGCAAACATAGTCGTACTTCCTTTTCTCGTAGTGTTTCCCAGCGTGCTTCATCCCCCTTTTCCTTAGTTCACTCTGACATTTGGGGACCCAGTCGTGTTAAGTCTAATTTAGGTTTTCAATATTTTGTTACTTTTATTGATGATTTCTCTCGTTGTACTTGGTTATTTTTAATGAAAAATCGTTCTGAGTTGTTTTCTATATTCCAAAACTTTTATCATGAAATTAAAAATCAATTTGGTGTCTCTATTCAAACTTTTCGAAGTGATAATGGCCTTGAATATCTTTCAAACTCGTTTAAACAATTTATGGCTTCTCATGGCATTCTTCATCAAACTTCCTGTGCTTATACCCCTCAACAAAATGGGGTGGCTGAGCGCAAGAATAGACACCTTATTGAAACAACCCGTACTCTTTTAATCCATGGTGAGGTTCCTCAACATTTTTGGGGTGATGCTGTTCTTACTGCCTGTTATCTTATTAATCGTATGCCCTCTTCGGTTTTAGATAACAAAATTCCCCATTCTATTTTATTTCCTCATGACACTCTCCATCCTTTACCTCTGAAGGTTTTTGGGTCTACTCGCTTTGTCCACAATTTTGATCCTGGTCATGATAAGTTATCTCCTCGATCACACAAATGTGTTTTCTTAGGATTTACTCGATCCCAAAAAGGATACAAGTGTTTTTCTCCTTCTCTTAATCGCTATTTTGTGTCCTCCGATGTCACCTTCAATGAGTTTTCCTTTTACTTTAAGGACCCTTCCCTACCCTGCTGAGTCTCCATCTCGCTACAGTTCCCATTCCTGTTCTCATTGATCCTTATGTTGAGGACCATCCACCATTAGCCCCTCCTCCTCCACCACCCCTTCAGGTTTATAGTCGCAGACCTCGCCCACAACAGACGCCACATGACTCACTCCCAGTGCCAAATACTCTGCCTCCTCCGGTTCCGTCCACAGAGTCTGACCTTCCTATTGCCCTTCGTAAAGGTACGCGTTCTACTCGTAATCCTTCTCCACATTATACCGCTTTAAGTTATCATCGAATTTCTTCACCATTTTATACCTGTCTCTCGTCTATTTCTTCTGTGTCTATTCCTAAATCTGTCTCTGAAGCCTTAGCCCACCCTGGTTGGCGTCAGGCCATGCTAGATGAACTCGGTGCTCTTCAGACTAGTGGAACCTGGACGCTTGTCCCATTACCATCTGGAAAATCTGTTGTTGGTTGCAGGTGGGTCTTCGCTATCAAGGTTGGTCCTGATGGTACTATTGATCGCCTCAAAGCTCGCCTTGTAGCCAAAGGCTATACCCAAATTTTTGGGTTGGATTATGGTGATACTTTCTCTCCAGTGGCAAAGATGGCTTCTGTTCGTTTATTCATTGCCATGGCTGCTATTCAACAATGGCCTCTTTATCAACTGGATGTCAAAAATGCTTTCTTGAATGGCGATTTGCAAGAAGAGATTTATATGGAGCAACCTCCCGGATTTGTTGCTCAGGGGGAGTCTTCTGGATTGGTATGTCGTCTTCGCAAATCTTTATATGGCCTAAAACAGTCTCCTAGGGCCTGGTTTGGAAAATTTAGCAACGTTGTTCAACAATTTGGCATGACTAGAAGTGAGGCAGACCACTCAGTCTTTTACCGTCACTCGAATGCTGGATGTATCTATTTGATAGTGTATGTCGATGACATTGTTCTTACAGGTAGTGACCATCATGGCATCTCTCAGATGAAACAACACCTTTGCCACCATTTTCAAACCAAAGATCTTGGCAAACTCAGATATTTCTTGGGTATTGAGGTAGCACAATCTACCGATGGCATTGTTATATCTCAAAGAAAGTATGCATTGGATATTTTGGAGGAAACTGGGTTGATGAATTCAAAGCCTGTTGACACACCCATGGATCCTAATACCAAACTCTTGCCAAATCAGGGGGAGCCAATGTCAGATCCTGAACAGTATAGAAGATTAGTTGGAAAATTAAATTATCTTACAGTTACTCGCCCTGACATTTCCTTTGCAGTCAGTGTGGTGAGTCAATTCCTCAATTCTCCTTGTCAAGATCATTGGAATGCAGTCATCCGTATATTAAAGTACATCAAAAAGTCTCCTGGAAAAGGTTTGGTGTATGACTCCCATAATCATACAAGAGTTGTCTGCTATTCGGATGCTGATTGGGCAGGATCTCCCTCTGATAGAAGATCTACATCTGGGTATTGTGTTTCCATTGGTGGTAACTTGATCTCATGGAAAAGTAAGAAACAAAGTGTTGTGGCAAGATCCAGTGCAGAAGCAGAGTATAGAGCTATGGCCTCAGCTACCTGTGAACTTATTTGGCTCAAGCAATTGCTTAAAGAGCTACAATTTGGAGATGTCACTCAAATGACACTAGTGTGTGACAATCAGGCTGCTCTCCATATAAGCTCTAATCCTGTCTTTCATGAGAGGACTAAACACATTGAGATTGACTGCCATTTTATTCGGGAAAAGATTATGTCTGGAGACATCAAGACTGAGTTCGTTAACTCATGTGATCAATTAGCAGATATTTTCACTAAGTCTTTACGGGGACCTAGGATGGATTATCTTTGTACCAAGCTAGGCACATACGATTTGTATGCTCCAGCTTGAGGGGGAGTGTTAGATATGATTAGATATTAGTTGATATTGTTTGATATTGTTGAGATATTGTTAGATATTGTTAATCACAATATCAAATAATATCTTTTTATTTACCCTATTTGTATTCTGTTACTCTTTTGAGGAGTACCTTTCTTTATTATAAATACACTGCCCTATGTGTGGTAAACACATAAGGGAAATTAACCCAATACAATTTTTCCCTATATTCAACAATAAGAAAGGTAAGAAATATTAGTTTGGGGAACATTACCCCTTCAATTTCGAACTGATTGTGGAATATGTTATTGTGTAACTGATTATTTAAAACATGAGGCTGACCGTTTAAGACTGTAAATTTCACCCACCTCAAATCCACCACCCTACAATGGAGACCCTTGTGCACTGGTGCGTAGGGATTAAGATCAGTTCATTCTCGGTATAAATGATGTAGAAAGACACTTTCAACAACTTTATTATAAAAATAAATTACATAAGTCTAACTATTAAATTATTTGATATTATCTTATAGACTGGATCTTCTATTTTAGAATTTTAAATCTACCAGTTGGATTGATAAATTTTACTTTTTGTAACAAGTTATTTAAGGACTCATTTTACAGAAGTTGACATGATGTTGTGTATAGCAGGTATAAAATCTTTTTTCGTTTATTTTTTTTGTTTGTGTATCTTATTTGTGTCCTTGAGCGTAAAAGAAATATACTTGTAGTTGACATATGTGATATTTCTTAATAAGTTTACCTACTTTCACAAACAGGTGGTTTTGGAGCTTCAAGAAGATGGAAAACTGACCACTTCGGATGATCCTCCTGTGGTATTTGGCTGTTTAGATGGAAGCTTCACACAACAGGTTTGTGTCAAAGATGTTTCTATGCAAATGTAAATTGGCATCTCTTGTTTAATCTAGGTATGACTTATGTGGCTCAAACAAATGACACTTTCTGCCACTACATAATCTTGCATCATTTCCTGAAATTTGATTTTTTTTACACCACTGAACTAATACAAATGGTTGGCTGTGAAATATTAACTCTGGATGGGATAGTATGATTGAGTTTGAGTCATGAAAATTAGAAATGAACAAGCTTGGAATTTATACGTGAACTCACTTTTCTATTTTATTGTTTAATGTTTACTAAATAATTTCTTTTTAACTTCAATTTTACAGTCAGGGCTCCAATCAGGATGTCTTATTCGGTTTTCAATTGGAGAGGGAGGATTAGTTTTGATGGATGGGAAACTTGAGAAAGCTGATCTACATTATCTTGGCAAGGCCAACCGAGCTCGTGGCTCTGCCGATAGTTTCTCTAAGGTTGTAAGGAAATTTCCAGCACAGCACTAATGTTTTTGCAATTTTTCCTTTCATTTAAAGACTAACATTTTAATCTGGATGGATTGTACATGAATGTGAAAGATGTTACAATGTTAATGGAAACAATTTTAAGGGAGAATAATTTACTTAACTACCAATTGAGTTGTCCAAAGATTTACATGACATCAATTTGAAGCTTTTAACATTAATGTGTCTTCAAAAGATTAAGTCACATCAAATTTATCTTTAATATGTTGTACGCTAATTTGCTTGTGAGAGGAACTAGCTGATGTCACTTCTAACCTTTGGAAAACTTTTCTGATGTCACAATCTTTGGAGGACCAATTTAGTAGTTTGGTTTAATATAATTGTAATAAGATTAGATATTCAATTTGATTGTGCGGTAGATTCTACCCACTGCCTTCACTCTAATAATTAGTGCTTAATTATGACTATTGATGCAAGGATTTTGGTTTTGGTTATGTGAAGGATTTTTCAAGGTTTCAGTTTAAGTGTCGGATCTTATTCCTTTAGTGTTTTGGGGATTCCCCTTATAAAAAAGATTAGCAGGTATCTAGTTTAGATGCTTTATGAGTGGTGATTTGTTCAAAGGATTATATTATATTAGGTTTTACCCTCTCTTTTCCTCTTTTCATTGTTATTCTATTTCACACGTGCCTTGTGATTATTCTGTTATTACTATAATCTTTCAAAAGTCAATAATTTTTCAACCTTTTGACATGACTTGTGATGATTACTTTAATCTCTTTCTTATAAATAAATTTTTTTTTATGAAAGTATTGAGAAGCAAATGCAAGAGGATGAGGTATCTTCAAAGCTAATCCAAGACTGAAAGAAGAAAAACAAAGAGCAAGAAACATATAATACTGCATGTCAATCTCCGCAGATGAACCAGAGCATTCGTCCTAAAAAGACCTTTGGACAATACCACCAGAAAGCTTACCAAACAACCCTATCCCACAATGAACTCCAAAAGCATTACTTGATCAGTGATAGTTTTAGCATTTCTTTCCAGCCATATACTCAACACATTTCCTTTAATTTCTGTTATGGATTTGATAGATATAGGTTAGTCTATAAAAGGAGAGAAAAAACGGGTTAATAAACAGTTGACATTGTAACTATTTTTTTAAGCATAACAGACTTAGTATATAAGTCTATCAGGGAGGGCTGAGTTTTTTAGTTTTCTTTTGGGAGATTTTTTCGAGGTGATCTATAGTGCTGAGAGAAAGGGAAGGACTCGGAAGATTACTTCCAGTTTGTAAAGTCCATTGTCATTACTTTGTGTGATGGAATTTTATCCTACCACATAGATAGGTCAATTCGTATCAATAAGAGGTATATTCAATTTAGTAGAAATATCAAACCTACCATTTGGTATTAGTAGTCTCGATCTTGGTTGTGGGGAGGGCTGCATCAAGGTATGGTTAATACAAGAATGGAGGCCAGATTAGATAGCGTCGACAAGATACTTCAAGATCTTGTGAAAGAACGGGACCAGATTGAGAACCAGCAGCAAGAACGTTTCCAACGTTTGGAAGACTCGATTCGAGGGCTCACATTTGTGGTGGAATCTTTAATGAGTAAAGAGAAAGAAGCTGAAAAATTTGTGGCAAAGTCGGGGGGAGGATCAGGTGGTCAACTAAATTTCACTAGTTCTGTTACGGAATCAAATCTATCTAGTTCACGTTGGAGGAAGCTTGATATACTAGTTTTTGTAGGAGACGAAGCGTATGGATGGACCAATCGTTTAGAACGTTATTTTCGATTAAAGGCTGTTTTGGAAGAGGAGAAAATGCAAGCGGTAATGGTAGCATTAGAAGGGAAGGCATTAAACTGGTTTCAATGGTGGGAAACCTGTAATCCACATCCATCTTGGGAAGCATTTAAAGTAGCAGTGGTACGACGGTTCCAATCGAATATGCTCAAGAATCCCTTTGAAATCTTGATTGGATTATCTCAAAAAGGTACAGTGGAGGAATACATTGAGCAATTCGAATAGTATGCGGGGTTTTTAAAAGGAATAGATCAAGATTATTTGGTGGGTATCTTTCTAAATGGGTTAAAAGATAAAATCAAGGCTGAGGTCAAGCTGTATGGCCCTCAAACTCTGGCAGAATTAATGTGTAAGGCTCAGTTGGTGGAAGAAAAAATTTTGGTGACATCAAAAGGTGTTTCTTATTCTTCTAATTCTAATGAGAATCGTTCAGCAACAATGATGGAAAAAGTAAATATGCAGATACTGCCAGTGTAGCTAGGAGTAATAGTGGGGGCCCATGTGCTAGAGGGGCTCCTTTCAGGAAGTTATCTGAGACGGAATTACAAGATAAAATCAAGAGAGACCTTTGTTTTTGGTGTGATGAGAAATATGATCTGAATCATGTCTACAGCAATAAACAACTTCATATGTTGTTATTGACTGACGAAGAAATTTTTGGATTAGAAAACTCTTTAGCCAAATCAGAGATCAATACAAACAGTGTGCAGGAGCATGTTTTGCAGCTATCCTTATGTACGATGGCAGGGTTAACCACTAAGAAGTCGTGGAAAATTTAGGGCAGCATTGGGTCAGAAAAAGTGGTCGTGTTATTGGATTGCGGAGCCTCTCATAATTTAATTTCTTCTAATCTCATTTCCAGAAGTGGGTTACTTCGGGAAGATACACCCTCTTTTGTGGTGGAAGTAGGGGATTGTCACAAGGTTCGATGTTAAGGGAGATGCTCCAGATTTCTTTTGGACTTACAAGGATATCAAGTGCTGCAGCAGTTTTATGTTTTTGATTTGAGTGGGGCTGATATTGTGCTGGGATTGGAATGATTATCAAGTTTGAGAGAAGTTAAAGCTGATTTTGGAAGATTAAGGCTAACTATTGGTAAGGGCAGTACAAAACATATAATATTCGGAGATCCTACATTGTCCAAGTCTCAATCTTCGTTGAAAATCTTATGGCACGAATGGAAGGAAGAAGACTCTTGCTACTTACTCAAATGGGAAGAGACTTTGGAACGTCTTACTACTTCAGAGATTCCTACAGAAATATTTAAAGTTTTGGCCATCAATGATGAAGTTTTTCAAGAACCCAACGGCTTGCCACCTAGTCGAAGCAATGACCATTCTATTCACCTACAACAAGGAGCTTCAATTCCTAATCTTAGACCATATAAATATTCTCATCAGCAGAAGAATGAGATTGAGAGATTAGTGCAAGAAATGTTGCAGGCTGGAATCATTAAGCCCAACATTAGTCCCTTCTTAAGTCCTATATTATTGGTTAAGAAGAAAGATGGGGGTTGGCGTTTTTGTGTCAACTATAGAGCTTTGAATAAGATAACAATTCCTAACAAGTTTCTAATTCCGATAATTGAGGAATTATTGGATGAGTTGGCAAGGGCAACTATATTTTCAAAGTTGGACTTGAAATCAGGGTACCACCAAATCCTAATGTGCAAATCTGATGTGGAAAAGACTGCATTTCGAACTCATGAGGGCCATTATGAGTTCTTGGTTGATAAGATTCAGGAGAATATTGGGCCGCAAGAGCTTTTAACAGATATAACAGCAAAGGGCCCAAAGGAATGGATTGTCTATACGCGAAGAAAGAAGAGGGCAAATTAGGAAGAAATGGGTCTTGGGAGTTTGTTAGAGGAGAGAGAAGGAATGTTTGTTTTCTGTTATTCCCTTTTTGTTTATATCATCATGAATGAGTGGAGGAGGAAGGGGGAGAGAGATAGTATTTGGCTGTTGCCTAAGGTAGAGGAATCGCATTTCTCTATTCTGAGTTGGGCTCTGGGACTATAGAGGGTTTTTCTCTAAAGTAGTTTCTTTTTTTATATAATCAATACAAAGTCATTCTGTTTTCTTTTATCATTTGCTGGTGCTTATTTACTCTTTGAATCTGTTTTTTGTATTATTGGTCCGACCTGCCGGATTATGTTAGACGGGTAAATGCCACAAACAAGGAAGCAGGGAAGCCAGAAACCAGCGGGAGAGGATTCTAAAATGGAGAACCGTGTAGCATCGTTGGAGAGTGAGCTATCGAAGATTAAAGCCTCTGTTGAGGTTTTGAGGGAACAATCGGAGAAATAGACCACGCAGCAAGACACCATTGCTGCAAATCAGGAGAAATTGCTTGAGCTGTTCACGAAGAGTTTGAGAAAAAATCATCAAGAAGCTGGTGAGAACTCTGTGGGAAACGAATCACGAGGGAAGAAATCAGACGAGGGACTAGAGAAGTCGAGTATTGCAGGGAAATCACTCGAAGGAGAAGCTTTAGAAGAATTTCGACAATCGATGAAGAAAATCGAGCTTCCTGCATTTACGGGAGAGGATCCAGCAGGATGGATTTCTCGAGCAGGAATCTACTTCCAAGTCCAAAATACAAGTGAGGTGGTGAAGATGAGTTTAGCACAGATTTGTATGGAGGATGACACCATTCACTTCTTTAATTCCTTGCTGCGAGACTATGATGAGTTGACCTGGGAGGATTTGAAGAAGGAGTTACTAGAGAGATATGGCGGAATTGAAGAAGGTACGGTGTTTGAACAGTTGACTGCTTTACATCAGACAGGAACAGTGGAGGAGTATATTAGCCGTTTTGAAAGCTTAATTGTGCAAGTACCACGGTTGTTGGAGGGTCAATACTTTGCGTACTTCATGAATGGGCTGAAAGAGGACATTCGTACTCGTCTGAGAAGCCTGCACATGGCAGCACCATTGACGCGTGGTCGTTTGATGAAGATGACGAGGGCAATTGAAGCAGAATTCACACGCGGGTCTAGTGGATGGCAAAGGACTAGTTTTGGTTCGGGGCAGAGGACCCATGGGAGAAATACAGGTCGTGGGGGCATTAAAAGTGTAATTCCACAAGTAGGAATTAATGGGCCTGGCCTAAATGAAAAAAAAGGTGCCTGGCCTAAATGAAAAAAAAGGTGGAGAAAGAAGTTTTAATGGGTCTCGTGACAGAGGTGCGAAACATTTAGCATACCAGGACTTGTTGGAAAGGCGTAAGA